TCCTCGGGTTGTTAGGCGTTGTAAGCACTTGTCTAGATTTTCATCGTGTTCCTTGCGAGTACTTCCATAAACGATAATATCGTCAGCTATGTTCTTGACTCCGATGAGTCCTTGTAATTGTGTCTGAAGTGTATATTGGAAAATCTCGGCGGCAGCGTTTGTCCCATAATTTAAACGTTTATAGCGATATAGCCCGATGTTTGTACTAAATGTGGTGATATGTCGGCTTTTCGGATCGAGTTCGAGTTGGTGGTACGCCTGGGATAAGTCAAATTTCGAGAAATATTTCGCGCCGTTCAGTTCAAATCTTACGTCATCAACTGAAGGTATCGGGTGTCGGACCCTTTTGATCGCCTCATTCGCTTGTCGCATGTCAACACAAATACGCACTCCTCCGTCTTTTTTTGGCACGGCGCAAGTTTGGGCTAAATTTCGAAGCCGTGTGTGAAACTGATCGAGAATTTCCCTTCGTTCTTGCACAGCCTTTCGAAATCGATACACCTCGCAGCGTCTGTTTTTCTGCGGTTCGAAATGGGCAAGTAATTTCGCTTTGGCAATATCATAGTCTTTGTCTTCGCCAGTGACAGGCAGTTGTTTAAAGATTTCGCGCACTCTTGCGCCAGCTTCGTATGGCAACAAAGCTCGTTGTCGTTTAGGATCTGTAACGCCACTAGCCAGGAGAAACATGTCAAAGTCTGCAAAGTATTTCCAACGTGTAGCGACGCTCGCGCCAAGTTCAGCGTCGGGATTAATCTCGGGCATTGGGCGAATAGGTACTGAATGTGCCATGCTGACTGTTAGATTGTTAGATTTACTCCTCGTCGCCAATGTAATATCTAAGTACTAGGTATATATTTGTGCTATGGAATATATTTAGTATAACATAACGATACAGTTCTTATTGATGTCTTAGTGTGTGTGTGTCAGTGTTCCTTCTACACAGCGTGTCCAATCTACCTATATTTAATTAGTTCCGACCGTATAGTCCTGATGCCGAGTGAATGACATGACGTCATTCCTATAACCCTCTCTCAACTTACAGGGCAGCTCGGTCCCTCTACTTCTACTCTGATCCATTCCTCTTTCTACTTTTGTAATATAATATCTTGTAAATAGTTGTAATTTATACATAGTTGTATTATTTCTGTGTTTTCCGCTGTGTATGTCATTGCTCTGAAGATGTCTTATTAAGTTAAAGACGAAACGTTAGCTTTCTAATAAATATTTTAAATTATATTTTTGTTCTGGCTCTTTTACGCGTTTTATGCTAAGCATTAATATTTATCCTAAGATTACGATTTCCGCCTTATTCAAATTAGCCGCGAAGGTATTAGGGTTTTTTACTCACCCTGTAAGCTCTAACACCATTGACATGCACAGTGAAACCAAGATGGTATAAAGCTCACGGGTGAGCACAATTTGAGACCGATTTGAGGTAACGTTAGGAAAACAGTTCAAACGCACGAAGAAAAGGGTCGTTCAGATTACCAATTTGCCAACGGCAACGAAATAACTTAGATCACAAACTCGATTGTAATCGTATAATAACCAAACTTGTAATATAAACGCGAAGCTATAACGTGTAACGTGAAACGTGGTTCGACTAAATAGAAATGAATATAAACCTAAATTAATAATAAATACTTAACCTAGCACTAACGCAACTAAACAATAAACTACATTATAAGTTCTTTGAATGTTTGCATGGCGATAAAATATAATTGTTTTTGTTTGTGGAAACACCACGTAAATAAATTGCAGTAATAAATTTACGTGGTGTTTCCACAAACAAAAACAATTAAACTACAATATATATACAAATTAATTGTCACTTACAGATGTTTCCCCAGTAACTCTTTAACTTTCAACGTAAATTATCTCTCTCTCTCTCTCTGGTTGTCCTCTCTTTACGAGTGTTAAACTATACTGCCGAGTTCTGGGGCTAAGCGTGCTTTTTCCATGCAAAAACGTAATTAACTACATCAGTCTTAAAAACATAAGTTTCCTGTGATAAGGATAGTCGACCATAAATTTCCTGTGATAAACACAGTTGTCATTACTAATAAAACACAAATTGACAGTTCCAATCCTACACACCCTGTACATAGATTAAAGAATGAATAGATGGCTCACTCTTTTGATGTTTTTGACGCTGCCGACACGCGCGACTTCCGGTCGGCCGCCATTACTCTGGCAAGAACACCCCAGCAAGAACAATAATAAAATGTATTGTGAAATTGACATCGCCGCTACTAAATCCTAATTTTT